GAAGGAGGCGGCCAGTCGATGTTTCTCTCTCTCTCTCCCTCTCCCTTCCTCTCTAAACAATAAAGAAACAAATTTTAAAAGGGCCCTACTTTTACGTAACTCTTTCATCACGATGTCCTCATTCGTAGTGCAGGATTGGCCCAGAAGGGGTTTCTAAATGCTGTTTTTATTCGTAAGAAATTTATTACTCTCTGTCCATCTGCTTTTTTAAAGCAATTTTTTATTTCATTTTTCAGTTGCCGTTGACATGAGGTTTCTGAATGCTCCATACAGACTTGCCCTGGGCCGCCGAGCCGTCCAAGGACATGCACTGGGGGTTTCGCCGGCTGGGGGTGCTAAGAGGACAGAGGGCAGGGACTGGACCCTGCTGGTGGCGGAGTGAACGCCTGGGCTGGGCCCGGGGCCCCGAGTTCCAGTGCGGTGCCCTGTGTCCTGTGCCATCTGGGGCAGTCAGTCAGCTTCTCCAAAACTGTTTCCTCATCTGTAGAACAGGCGCCAGCGACGCCAGCTGGGGTCCTGGGGTTTGAGCGAGGTGGCCATGCCCGGCGGCAGCCAGGAGTGTCACTCAGCGGTGTGGGTTGGATGAGAGCCGAGCTTGACCCCGAGGACGGGCAGGTCGGCGTCTCTGGCCCCGCGGGCAGTGCTGAGCTCTGCGAGAGGGCCGGGGGCAGCGCCTCCAAGATGACTTTTCAGCCCCCCTGAGGGGCAGCAGCCTTCACAAGGCGGGGTCCCCTGAACACATGGTGGGAGGGCAGGGGCCATGTGGGGACCCGGACCCCTGAACAGGTTGTACTGGGGACCGCAGGCCCTCTGGGCAGCCGGAGGCGGGTTGCAGTCAGGGCGGGGGAGGGCCGTCTGTGGCGTCCCAGTGGGTGGGAAGGGGCAGTGTTGGAGAGGCACTGAGACCGAGCAGGCGGAGCTAACCACCCTTTCCGGGTGTGGACTACGGGACATTCCGTCTTACCGAATTAGGAGAGGCCAGTTCAGGAGCGGGAAGCGTGCTGCTATGTGGGGGGCTGGGCTGGGCAGGAGGAGAGCATCCTGTTTGCATCTGATTTTCTGGGAGTATCTGGAACACCCACGTCGTGGTAACTTGGGTCATGACAGCTGCAGCTCCCCCTGGGTGTCCGACTCGGGCAGGCTCTGAACACACCTGAGGGCAACGCAAGGCCCTGCCTCCATGGCCCGAGCCGTCTGCAGCTGGGTCCGAGCCGGTGGGCAGAGGGTGCACCCCGGGGTCGGAAGGAGATGCAGTTGGCCAGGAAGAGGCGAGGGGAGGGTGGGCAGAGACATGCGGTGGATGGAGGGAGCTGGGGCCCTGGGAGGGAGCATGCGCCTGCCCCAGGAGTGTGGAAGGTGGCACCTGAGCCCATCAGGGAAAGCCAGCAGCACCCCAGGCTTCCCCTCAGTCCACAGGGGCTCCCCTCCTTCCGAAATTGGCCCCACGCTGGCCCTCGCTCTGCTGCCTGCTCACCTGCTTTGATTCTGTGCTGCGGGAGCCCCCGGAGGGCAGGCAGGCAGGGGCCCCCCACTCGCCACTCCTGGAGGACAGCGGCCATGGGTGCCCGGGTGAGGGGCGGCTTGCTGAAACCCGGGTCCGCCTGCAGGGCTCTCTGCCGGAGGAGCCTGGGGTGAGGGTGGGGTATGTGGGTCTGGCTGTCGCCATACTAACTGTTGCCCTGCGACTGTGCAGCGGTCACTCAGCCACATTTTAGCTCAACTTTGGTGACTCTGGGTGTAGACCCGGCTGCATCCAGAGGCCGGGCCTGGGAGGGAGCATGACAGGTGAACTCTGCTGGGGCTCGACGGGACAGGCTGACGCCCACTGAACCCCACCTGTGCCGCTTCAGGCCCTGGGATGCCGCCTCTGATGGTGAGGACGGGCGGGCGCTGAGCACGCCCTAGAGGGGCCGCAGTGCCTTCTGTCCCCCACTTCTGCTTCCAGAGTGGAGGTGAAAGCCGTGTACTCAGCACGCACCATGGGCACCCTCGTCCCTCGGCCGAACCAGGTTGGCCCTGGTGAAGTGTCCCCTGTAGTGAGTGGCCGGGGCCCGTCTTCCTTTCATGAGACGGGGCCTCCATCATGAGGCAGCTTCCTCCAGCTGTCCCTGGACGTACAGCCGGAGCCGGGGCCTGGGACCTCCGTCTTCACAAGAGCGCGGCCGCCCAGGGTGCTCTATACCATCGCCCTCCCCAGAGGGGACCTTGGGGCCAAGCCACCGCGCCCTGGCCAGGCTTGCTGAGCGGTGATGTGTGACCGTGTTTCTGAAGGGGGCCTGGGCCCGAGTGCTCACTGAGAGCCCTCCGAGCCGGGGCCACCCCAGCCCTGTAACGGTTCTCGGCAAGATGAAGGCGGGACTGAACCTGGCCACCGTTTTCTGGTTTTATGAGCTTACATGTCACAAGAGGGCCATGGATTTCCTAGAGCATTGTCAGGTGCTGACGCTTGAAGCTGGACCTCAGGTCTTGCCCCGGTCACTGTTTTCCACAACATCGGGGTGGTAGTCACGGAACTGTGACTCCCAGCTCGGATGTGGACACGCATGCTCAGATTGCTCACGCTGCCACCGCAGTGTGGGGTGGGCCCGGTGTCCAGGGACAGTCGTCCCCCTTGTCCGAGGCTTCAGTTACCAGTGGTCAGCTGCACTCTGAAAAGATGAAATGGAAAATTCCAGAAATGAACCACCCCTGTGTTTCATATTGTGGCCCAGTCCTAGGAGCATGCCGAAACCTCCACCCTTCCAGCTCCATCCTGCCAGGACGCGAGCCGTCCCCTCTCTGCACACGGCGGTGCTCCCTTCCGTCCCCCGGTCACTCCCTGGCCGTCTTGGCTGTCAGGCCCCTGTTGTGGCCCTACGGTGCTGTGTTCAGGTCGCTCTGATTTATTGGTATACTTGTTCCAGTTTATAATTGTTGTTACTGTGCCTAGTTATAAATTAAACTTTATCATGGACATGCACATATTTGGGGGAAATGTGGTATATTTAGGGTTTAGTGCTATGTGTAGTTTCAAGCATCCATGGTGGGTCTTAGAATGTATTGTCCATGAGTGAAGGGGGCAACTGTATTCTGAAGGGTCCGACTGAATGACTGACTCGGTTGTCACTGGCGGTGTGTGTGCACAGATGTACACATGTGCTCATGGGTTGTCATTAGCTGTGTCTGTGCATGGGTGTATATGTGTACTCACAGGTTGTCATGTGGCTGTTGGCACGCAGGTGTGTGCATGAGCTCATGGGTTGTCATTGGTCACGTGTGTATGTGTGTACATGTGTTCACGGATTGTCATTAGCTGTGCATGTATGTGTGTGTGCACACATGTACTCATGGGTTGTCATTAGCTGTTTGTGCACACAGGCATGCATATATGCTATAGGTTATTGGCCATGCACATGTGTGGGTGTACACGTGTGCACACGGGTTGTCATTGACCGTGCATGTGTGTGTGGGTGTGTATGTGTGCACAGGGCTGTCATTGACCATGCATGTATGTGTGGGTGTATATGTGTGCACAGGGCTGCCATTGACCGTGCGTGTGTGTGCGGGTGTATGCGTGTGCACACGGGTTGTCATTGACCTTGCGTGTGTGTGTGGGTGTACGCGTGTGCACACGGGTTTTGATTGGCTGTGCATATGTGTGTGTGTGCTCACAGTGACTGTGCGTGCCTGCACTCAGGAGTGCTTGCTGCTGGAATCTGCAGTCCTCCATCTGCAGGGGCTGGAGGTCTCCTGTCGCTCCCCTGCCCTGTGTCCACCCCCTGGGCAGACAAGATGGTCTCTGTCTGTCCATCAACCATCCCTGAAAACACAGTGCGCTTTGCCACGTTCCCTTAAGACCCAGCTCTGATAATGTGATAATGAGTGATCGCGTTTAATGAGACGCCCTTCTCGGGCCACATCAGTGTGTTTTAACAGGGCCTCCCTGATGCACAGCTTAACCTCGTTTCCCTAGTAGATAGAACACTGCTTCAGCTAGTGTCCCCTCAAAACAATTCACGAAAATAATAAAAAGTAAGTAAACTGCATTGGTCAGATACGTTCACAGGCGAGGCATGCAACGATGTCCCTTGGGAATGAACAAGGTATGTCACACGTTCAAGGATCCGAAGTGTCCTGGAACAAAAGCATCAGGTGTTATTCAATGCTTGGTGTGCCCTCCAACCCCGTAACTCATGGGACAGCGTCGGTGCCCTGCAGTGCCCCCTGGGGAGTGCTGCCTTCAAGCCAGGAAGTCCCTGTGCGGTGCACCCGGAGTCTTGTTAAAATTACAGAGTATGTTTATTGCGGCAAAATACTCAGGCCCTAAAAGCTACCATTTTAGCCATGTTTAAGGGTCAGTGACATTAACACACATCCATGTCATTATACGGCCATCGCCCCAGCCATTGGGAGAACTCGACTCTCCCCAAACCGAAGCTCTGCCCCCCTTAAACAGCAACTCCCTGTCACCCACCTTGGTCTGGCACCCGCCCTCTCCTCTCTGGCTGCTCATGAGGGAGACCCCACAGTCTGTCCTTTGTGACGGGCTCATGTCACTGAGCATGATGTCCTTAGGGTCCATGGCATTGTAGCAAGTGTCAGGATTTCCTTACTTTGCACGGAGGATACACCCTCTCCTGTCGGTCTGTTCTTCTGTCCGTGGACACGTGGTTGTTTCCCCCACTGGCTCCTGTGAAGGGCGCTGCTCCGAGCAACCCGGCTCTCTGCCACCTGCTGGTGCCCCCGGGGGACCTCTCCCCTCCAGGCCGGGGGCTGGGGCTGCTCTGTTGCCTTCTCCTTGGTGAAGCCGGAGCATTTCTATCGCTCGTCGTGGAGGAGTCTTTATTTTTAAGGAAACCATAGAATTCTGTCTGTGGAATTTCTTGCCCTAAAAGTCGACAACTAGTTTCCATCGGATGGGAAGGCACAGGGGGCCTGCAGGTCGCCCCTGATGAGAGGGGAGGCTCACAGGAGGGGATGACGGGGCTCCCTTCTTTCCCGCCCAGCTGCGCCCCCAAACGATGTCTGCAGAAGGGGGCGGGCACCAGCCTCCAGCTGAGCCTCCCTCTTCGCACGTCTTCCCCAGGAGAGGAGGTTGCCCCGTTGGAAACCTAGAGGTGCGGAGCCGGCGGGCACACAACGCGGTAGCCGTGCAGCCTGGGAGCTCGGGGCAGAAACGTCCTTTCGAAGCGCCTGTACGGGCGGGGGGCCGCGTCCCTGAGGGATTGGCTTCTCACCATGTTCCTTTCTCTGCCCTAGCTTATGTTCCCGAGGAAGAGCTGAAGGCGGCGGAGATCGAGGAAGAGAACGCGGAGGAGGATGGGCTGTCCCTGGACATTCAGGACAGTGACTTCGTGGGCGGCGAAGACGCCGAGCTGCGCGAGGCCCAGAGCGGCCAGGACTCCCCGGTCAGCACGGCCACCAATCAGGACGCCGGCTACGGGTCGCCTTTCAGCGAAAGCAGCGACCAGCTCGCCCACTTCAAAGGCTCCTCCTCCAGAGAAGACAAAGAGGATCCGCCGGGTCCCGACGCCGCCGTCTCCTACCCCCAGGACAGCTTGGCCCAGATCAAGGCCGTCTACGCGAACTTGTTCTCGGAGTCCTGCTGGTCCAGCCTGGCGCTGGATTTGAAGAAGTCCAGCTCGACCACCAGCAGCAACGATGTGGGCCCCAAGGAGAGCGCCACCCCCACCCCCACGCCCCCCGCCACCACGGCGGGGGCCACCGGCACCACCGCCAGCACCCCCAGCTCCAGCTCCAGCACCAGCACCAGCACCAGCACCAGCAGCGGCAGCGGCTCGGGTTACGACTGGCACCAGGCCGCGCTGGCCAAGACGCTGCAGCAGACGCCCACCTACGGGCTGCTGCCCGAGCCCAGCCTGTTCAGCACCGTGCAGCTCTACCGGCAGAACAACAAGCTGTACGGCTCGGTGTTCACGGGCGCCAGCAAGTTCCGCTGCCGGGACTGCAGCGCCGCCTACGACACGCTGGTGGAGCTGACGGTGCACATGAACGAGACGGGCCACTACCGCGACGACAACCGGGACAAGGACTCGGAGAAGACCAAGCGGTGGTCCAAGCCGCGCAAGCGCTCTCTGATGGAGATGGAGGGCAAGGAGGACGCCCAGAAGGTGCTCAAGTGCATGTACTGCGGCCACTCCTTCGAGTCCCTGCAGGACCTGAGCGTCCACATGATCAAGACGAAGCATTACCAGAAAGTGCCTCTGAAGGACCCGGTGCCCGCCATCACCAAGCTGGTCCCTTCCACGAAAAAGCGAGCCCTCCCGGACCTGGCGTCCCCGTGCTCCCCGGAGCCAGCAGGGGCCGCCGCAGAGGCCGCCCTGAGCGAGGCGGCCAAGGACCAGAAGACTGCCAACCCCTACGTGACCCCCAACAACCGCTACGGCTACCAGAACGGGGCCAGCTACACCTGGCAGTTCGAGGCCCGCAAAGCCCAGATCCTCAAGTGCATGGAGTGTGGCAGCTCCCACGACACCCTGCAGCAGCTCACCGCCCACATGATGGTCACCGGCCACTTCCTGAAGGTGACCACCTCCGCCTCCAAGAAGGGGAAGCAGCTGGTGCTGGACCCCGTGGTGGAAGAGAAGATCCAGTCCATCCCCTTGCCCCCCACCACGCACACCCGGCTCCCCGCCTCCCACATCAAGAAGCAGCCCGATTCACCCGCGGGGTCCACCGCCTCGGACGAGAAGAAGGAGCCGGACAAGGAGAAGGTGCCGGCGGCCAGCGACACGGAGAAGAAGATCAAGGAGGAGAACGAGGACGCCTCGGAGAAGTTTGAGCCCACCACTCTCTATCAGTACCTGCGCGAGGAGGACCTGGACGACAGCCCCAAGGGCGGGGTGGACATCCTGAAGTCCCTGGAGAACACCGTCTCCACGGCCATCAGCAAAGCGCAGAACGGCGCGCCCTCGTGGGGGGGCTACCCCAGCATCCACGCCGCCTACCAGCTGCCGGGCGCCGCGAAGCCGCTGCCCGCCGTGCAGAGTGTGCAGATGCAGCCGTCCTACGCGGGCGGCGTGAAGGCGCTGTCCTCCGAGCACAGCGCGCTCCTGCACTCCCCGGGCAGCCTCACGCCGCCGCCCCACAAGAGCAACGTGTCGGCCATGGAGGAGCTGGTGGAGAAGGTCACGGGCAAGGTCAGCGTGAAGAAGGAGGAGAGGCTCGCCGAGAAGGAGAAGGGCTCGCCGGCCAAGGCCGTGTCCCCCGTGGCCAAAGAGAACAAGGACTTCCCTCGGACGGAGGATGCCAGCGGCAAACCCCAGCAGAAGAAGGGCCCCGAGGCGGAGGTGGGCAAGGCCAAAAAGGAGGGCGCGGTGGACGCCCACACCCCCAACGGCACGGAGCCGCTCAAAGCCAAAGTCACCAACGGCTGTAACAACCTGGGCATCATCACGGACCACTCGCCGGAGCCCTCGTTCATCAGCCCGCTGAGCGCGCTGCAGTCCATCATGAACACGCACCTCGGCAAAGTGTCCAAGCCCGTGAGCCCCTCGCTGGACCCGCTGGCCATGCTGTACAAAATCAGCAACAGCATGCTGGACAAGCCCGCCTACCCCGCCACCCCCGTCAAGCAGGCCGACGCCATCGACCGCTACTATTACGAGAACAGCGACCAGCCCATCGACCTGACCAAGGCCAAGAGCAAGCCGCTGGGCCCCAGCACGGCCGATGCCGTCTCCTCGCCTCTGCGGGAGAGCGCGCTCATGGACATCTCCGACATGGTGAAGAACCTCACGGGCCGGCTCACCCCCAAGTCCTCCACGCCCTCCACGGTGTCGGAGAAGTCGGACGCCGACGCCAGCAGCTTCGAGGAGGCACTGGACGAGCTGTCGCCCGTGCACAAGAGGAAGGGCCGCCAGTCCAACTGGAACCCTCAGCACCTGCTCATCCTGCAGGCTCAGTTCGCCTCCAGCCTGCGGGAGACCCCCGAGGGGAAGTACATCATGTCGGACCTGGGCCCACAGGAGCGGGTGCACATCTCCAAGTTCACGGGGCTCTCCATGACCACCATCAGCCACTGGCTGGCCAATGTCAAGTACCAGCTGAGGAGGACAGGCGGGACGAAGTTCCTGAAGAACCTGGACACAGGGCACCCCGTATTCTTCTGCAACGATTGTGCCTCTCAGTTCAGAACTGCGCCCACGTACATCAATCACCTAGAGACACACTTAGGGTTCAGCCTGAAGGATCTCTCCAAGCTGCCACTCAGCCAGATTCAGGACCAGCAGAGTGTGTCCAAGGCCCTGGCCAGCAAGGCCCTGGGCCCAGTGGCGGCTGCCGAGGACGACCTGGGCCCCACATTCCAGTGCAGAGTGTGCAGCCGGACTTTCGCGAGCAAGCACGCTGTCAAACTGCACCTCAGCAAGACGCACGGCAAGTCCCCGGAGGACCACCTGATCTACGTGACCGAGCTGGAGAAGCAGTAGCGAGCGCCCAGGTGCGCGAGGGACCCCGGCACATTGCACTAACCGTCTTCACACTGCACTAGGCCTGGCCTGAGCCTCCGAAATCAGCCTCCCTTGGTTGCCCAACGGCCTGTCTGGACCTCGGTTTTTCTTACACATATTTTGTAGCTATATTTATATGCTCTTTGTCTGATTGCGCATGTTGTTTTTTTTTTTTCTTCTTTTTTTTTTTTTCCGCGCGTCGAAGTCTGACCTTTATTTTCAACATCTGTTCTTGATGTTAAGCTATCTTTTGTAGGAAATGGTGGGGCACACTACTCAGAGACGCTGACTTAGCAGGAGAGAGAGACACATGTAACAGTGATAAAAAGACGTCCTAAAAATTACAAAGTTGCCATGACAATAAAGGTCATGGAACCCAGGGGGGGTTCACATTTAACCCTTTGAGGACTGTAATCGCATCTCTGTGCCTTTCACTAAAAAAAAAAAGAAAAAAATAGGCTTAAAGGCATTTCATTCAGATCAAAAGCTGTGCCAGACACAAAACTTATTTAATAATTGAGAAATGAGCTTTCGTATGCAGAGCTGGTTTGCGGAGGGGGCGGGCACATGCAGCTGGAAGACAGACAGCTGTCTAGGCCCCATGGGGTCAGGGAGCCGCAACGGTACACGGTCAACGCAAAACAAAACAGAAAACTAACAGCAGACACCCCAGTTGCCACTATGCCCAAACCCTCTGGATGCTGGGGAAAAAAAAAAAAATGCCACTTTTGGCAAAAAAAAAAAAAAAAGTATGCAAGCTATTATTTAAAACGTGTAAAAAATGCTATTTCTTCTTTTCCTGTAAAATACTGCGGTTTATAGTTATTTACAAATGTAAGCTTTGGTACAAGCTGACCTTTCTATAGCGCGCTGCATCAATCCACGAGAAACCAGGAGCGGACGCTGAGGTTCCTCCTTGTACATTGGCAGCATCGGCTTAAAAACTCCTCTATGTTCCCTAACGTACCATTTTAATCTGTTCGACTTTCTTTGTACCTTCTGGCTGTGTGCTTTCTCTTTTAACTTTTTATATTGTCATTTTATATTAAATTTCTGTGTATATAATGTAAAACCACGATTTTTGAATAAAATTTAGTTCCTGCAGCTTGATTTAAATAGAGAAATTTTACTGGCGTTGGCATCTCTCCAGATGCATGTATATCAGACAAAAATAAATAAATGAAGACAAAGCAAGGCACTATTAATTATACGTTCGATGTTCTGTCATTGATATTGTACAGTACATTTGGGTTCACACAATTAAATCCACTGTTTTCGCAACTGTAAAATAAATCCTCACGCGGTTCTTGGTTTACGTGGATGGTCATGTTGTTGTTCTTTGGCCCAGGAGATGTTCTTTCGGCAAGAGGTCTGGCTGCTGCCGTCGACCGACGGAAACCTCGGCCGGAATCACTGTTCTGTGATTTGTGGGCTGACGTGCTCTCATGCAAATCAGTGTTGTGCTTTTAGAAATGATAATGAACATTTTTAACTCCGCTGGGTGCCGCTGAGTTGAGCTGTTGAGTGATGGGTGTTTGGTACATAGACGGAGGGCCTTTGTTTGGAGAGTCCCCGCGGACAGTACAGGTGTCTGCTGTGTGCTCTCTGGGCATCCAGGGACTTGACAGGGTAGGAGGGAGGTCTCCCTCGAGCAGGGAGGACCCCAGGTTCTGGGACTACCCCCAAAGAGGAACGGCTGAGATCTGGCTCTGAAAAATGTACAGTTTTAAAAAACGAGCTGCCTTCTGACTCTGTTTGAGACCAGCCTTCTGCAGGTTGCCCTGGGCACCGAGGGCCTCCCTCTCCTGAGGGGATCAACTGGACCCTGGGCATGTAAGCCCTGGGACCCTGAGCCCTGAGCTCCGGGGCCTCCCTGTACTGGGGCAAACCCCAGAAGCGCTTAAGCACACGGCAGGAAGGTTTTCCCTGCCTTTGGTTTGAATGTCCACGACATACATCCCGAGAAAGGGCAGACCTTCAGGTGCTCCGTTCCGAAGCAGCCGAGCAGCTGAGCCGTTCCCTGTCGGCGGCGGCCAGGCCACCTGTCCCGTTGGGGATGGCGGCCCGACGGCGGGCCAGGCTGCCGTTTTCACAGGCCTGTGCCACGCCCTGCGCTTGGGCCAGCTGGGCACCCCTCCTGACTCTTCATTGGCAGGTGGCTCCATCCCTTGGAAGGTTCGGACACTGAGACATTTGGGTTCAGTTACCGGGCTCCTGGGGTGACAGAGAAGAAGACAGCTAGGCCCATGATGGTCCCCTGAATCGTGTTTATTGTACCACAAGCCCACAGACACGACTGTGGGATTTCACCGGCGGTGAGGCGGAGCTGCAGCTGATGAGGCGTGAAGGGGGTGGGTCCCGGCCCGACCCAGTGCGCGGCCCCTGAGCTACTCGCTACCGAGTTCTGACCCCGGGGCCTGGGGCCAGAGGCCAGGCTTACTTTCTTAATTTTTAAAAAAAATGTTTTTATTGATTTTTTTTTAGAGGGAGAGGGAGAGGGAGAGAGAGACACATCCATGTGAGAGAGAAACATCGATTGGTTGGCTCCTGCACACACCCTGATCAGGGACCGAAACCGCATCCCGGGCACGTGCCCTGACTGGGAATCGAACCGGTGACACTTCGTTGACGATGCTCAGCCAACTGAGCCACACCAGCCAGGCCCATCTTTTCTTTTTCTAATGCATCACCACATCACCATCTTGTCATCCACCCAGTTCCCCAGCCGGCGGCTCCAAGGCCCGGTTGTCTTCCTGCGCGCACACCGGTGGTGGACATGTGCACGGTGGCCATAGTCACGGACGCCACTCCACGCCAGGGGTGTCCTGCGTGCTTCATGCACGTGCCCCATTCGGGCCTCGCAGCACGCGGAGGGCCTGTCGCTCCACCGTCCGGCAGACATGGAGCCCAGCACAGCACCGAGGCCGCCCGAGGTCCCGTGGCCTGGGACTCACATGGCTGCAGCTTGAGTTCGAAGCCCTGGCTCTGTCCCAGCCCGAGCTCCTGGTCACCCCCTTTGGTCAGCCTCTGTGGGACTAGAGCAGAGGGTTCAGGGGATGCTGACGGACAGGGACGTGGTGCCACCACAAGCAGACGTCCCTTCTTCATGTCTGCAACCCACATCTGATCACAGTGGGACGGCTGTTTCCTATTGGGTCTGAAAAATACGTTGCAATGAATGTTTGTGATGAATGTGCAGTGACTTCAGTGAACCCAGGACTTCCTAGTACTGTGGAAACTCGACATGTGCAGGTAGACGGTGAGTAGCCGGGGCAGCAGCCAGGCCCTCTAATCTAAGGGTGCACCTTACAGGTGGTCTGCTCCCTGCATCGTGTTTGGGTAGAGGTGCCCATCCCCTCCTCCACCCAGTCTCCTGTGCTGTTTCTCCCAGACCTTTCTTAGCCCGGAGGACCAGGTCGGCACCCTCTGGAGCGTGACAGCCGATAGCCCTGAGCAACTGGAGAGAGCTGGCCACCACCCACCTGGTAGGAGCCTGGGGGGCTGGGCGGTGACGGCTGCGCAGTGTTTTCTGTGGTTTGGGGTGACGTCATGCACATTGCAGAAGTAACCCTACTTGAGCCTTGGCTTTGATTACAAAGTACTTTTTCTTTTCACTGTGGGACTCTAAAAGGTTAGAGATGTTCCTCAGAATGGGTTGGGTGAAGATGCTTTTTGTTATTTAGTCAATATTTAAAGAGAGAGGGAGCCAGTCAAATAACAGCAGATAGTTTACGTACGAGAAACCATCTTTCAGGCAGCGTATGGAGGAAGAGAGGAGGGGGTTAAACACTGAAGATGTATGTCCCTACATCTCTATATTTGGTCATCTGTAGACAGCTGCCTGCATTGGTCTAAGCTCTGAAGCATGTCTACATTTTCTTCGATTCTCAGAAACCCGTCCCTACCAATGAAGGTTTCTGCTTTTTTCTAAGCGACCATTTCTTAGGACTACCTGTATCAGGAGCAATGCATGGTCACTGCACACACTGGCGAACAGAGACATAAAGAAGGAAAAAAAATAACTTGTTTCCATCTACAGAAAAATCGTCATTAATATTTTAGTGGTTACATCTTTTCCCCCGTGTTTCTACAGAATAGAGATCACATTGAACACATGCTTGTACTTGGCTTCTTTACTTGATAGTAGGTAGTGCATGTTTTCCTATTTCACTAAATACCTTTTTTGAAGTCAAATTTATTGGGGTGACGTTGGTTAATAGGGTCATATAGGTTTCAGGTGTGGGTTTCTATGTTAAAAGGCCTGTGTGCCCACCACCCAAAGTCACATCATCTTCTGTCGCCATCTATTAGGCACCCTTCACCCCCTGAACCCCACCCCTTAAATATCAAAAATGTCTAAGCTGACTGAGATGTCTTATGGTTTATTCAATTGTTCATTAGAATTTTAAAAAACAGTATCTGGATTCAGGTTTTCACTATTACAGACGAGTGCCAAGAGCATCCCACTCGGGAGTCATGGTGGCTTCCTCCGGACGATCACTACACCGCAGGGTCTGCGTCGCCGCGTGACTTGGGACCTGCACCCCGCGTGTGCACACGGACACCTGTCCTGGCTCATAGACCCTTGGAGAACGACCCTTCTCCACACCTTCGCTCTGTGAACACAAGGATTAGCTGCCTTTTCATTTCTGGCTATTTTTACGAACTGGCCAACACAATCTCAATGTTTTAACTTACAATACTTTGAATCTTTATTGTCCTTTGAGGTTATCTGAGGACAAGAGGGGTTAGGAGCCCGTGTGATAGTCTGGAGCACTTCCACATGTGTCGTGGTTTCGTTTAAACTCGGGTGCAGGACACATCACAGAGCAGAGAGAGAGGCCTGCACGGGGACCCGCAGCTCCCGGGGCCCAGGCCCAGCGTGTGGTAGCGTCTCCCATCCGGCCTCCGGTTCGCTCCCTACACCCCAGCTCCCTGAAGGCTCCCAGAGACGCCAAGTAGATAATGCACGCAGAGCACGATCTGACACTGACCGACTTGCACCAGGGAGAAAAGCCCCAAATCTGTGAGTTCTATGACCTGTTCACATGAGGATCAACTAGGAAAACACACATAATCTCAAAATAAAGTGGCCCGCCACAGAAGATGAGACTTGATCCCTTGGACTGAGGGACTCCCTACAATACGAGGATTGAGAAGTGCAGATTGGTACCACGAATAGGCCCGGGGAGGTCAAGTACAGCGTAGGGAAAACAGTCAGTAATAGTGTCATAAGTATGAATGGTGCCTGGTGGGTACTGGAAATACTGGGAGGAGCATCATAAAGTATATGATTGTCTAACCACTGTGCTGTACACCTGAAACTAATACAGAATAATAATGAAGCCCGGCCGGTGTGGCTCAGTGGTTGAGCGTCGACCCTGCACCAAGAGGTCATAGTTCGATTCCTGGTCAGGGCACATGCCCAGGTTGTGG